CAGCTTTGCCTTTTTACCTCACTTTCTTCTCCCAATACCTCAAATGGTTTGTTCGGGTTAGAAAATGAAGCCTATGAACTAAATTAAAAAAAATAAGGGAGCACTTCAGTGGCAGAAAACAGCTGCAGCCTTTGTGGCTCTTCCCTTTGAACCTCCCTCTGTTGCTCTTTTTCCCTTGCCCTTCAGACTGCACTATTCCAGGGGATTTATTTGAACCAGAGCTGGTTCTTTTCTGTGTTGCAGGGCATTGCTTGATGACAGACAAAACAGGCTGGACAAGGACAGCACTCTGTGGCCCTTCCTCAGGCAATCATCCAGGCAAGCTTGGATTGTTTGAAGTTCCAAGGAAAACTGGGAGAAAGCCCAGCGTTCCTCTGTTCACCTTTAGGCCGAGATTGCAGTCTTGATGCCACTGATGAAAACTCCCACTGGAGCATTATTTCCCAGAGGTTATTCCTAGGATGAGCCAGCACAGCTTGGGCAAGGCTTTCATCCTGACTGGCTCATCCCAGTCCTGCTGTCCCTGCAGCTTCCTAATTGAGGTTCACCATTCCTCTGTTTGGGCCCCTAATTGCTCTCCAAAGCCCCTGCAAGAGGTTCCCAGCAGAGACAAAGTTCCTCTGATGCAGCCCAAACAAACAAACAAACAACAATTAACACCTTCCCTGCCTTTCCCACAGTTCCCTTGCTCATCCCAGTTCAGCAGTGCTGGGGTTTGCTGCACCCTGGAATCTCTAAGGCAGCTCCTTAGCATTTTGTGGCTGCTCCATGATCCCTGGAAGTGTCCAAGGCCAGGTTGGATGGGTTTTGGAGCAACCTGGGATAGTGGAAGATATTCCTGCCCACAGCACAGGGTGGGTCTGGATGGGCTTTAAGGTCCCTTCCAGACCATTTTGCGTTTCTGGGATTAACCAAGTGTGAGAAATGGCTACTCACTTTTCATAGTTCAGGAAGGTTTAGTAAACCTTATCAAAAATACAACAGAAGGCTGAATAAAGAAAAAAGGTTACAGCACTGGGAGCAAAAGATTTTCCCTGCCATGTGCTCAGCCCCCTCACAGTGGAGGTTTTTTCCTTTTTAACCCTTTAACCCTTCTGTCCATCAACCCCTTCTTTGCTGTCCAGTGGTGGAGATCTCTTCCTCAAACCCTGATTGGAGGTCAGTGTTCCATAGTGACTTCCCAGATGTCCCAACCCTGCTGTCCCTTGATAACCACATGAGGAGGTACAACATAACTATAAATCTATAAACTTTTCTTAACCTGTATACATGATATTTGTCCATTAATTGTGAGAGTCCATCATGGCATTACTCATCTGTCACACAAGGATTGAGGGCAATCACACTGACAAGGTCGAATTCCTGCCAACAGAGGAGTTTTCTCCTTCTCCCTAATGGCTGTCTCTTCCCAAGTGAATCCAGGGAGAACACCCTTGTCCCTGTCCCACACAAAGCTCTGTGTTTTGGGTGCATAGAGGGAACATAAGGAGTCCAGATTGGTAGATTTATATGTACAAAACAGATACTCTTTTAAGTGATTTTAGCTCTTCCTTCAGAGGTTTGTCACCAGCCATCAGAATTGCTTGTTCCACCTTCTTTGGACACACAGCTTGATAAAAGTCCAGCCAGATATGAGTAGCCCAAGAACATCATCCTGTCATCCTACCAGCTCAGAAACACCCCAAGCCAGTGCCAGGGCATCACAGCCACTGCCTCAAGTGCCAGAAACAAACCACTTCCCTCTGCTGCTGAGCTAGTCCTGATTGTCAAGTCTCTTGTAATAAATCACCTAAGCATGAAAAGCTGCAGGAGCATCTCCTCTCCTGCTCTGCTGTGCTTGCGCGAGCTTTTTAGGCACTCAGTGTCTCTTCCCCCAAAAGACTTCACATCAACAAATGCATCACATGGAATCCTCTGGTAGCAGCAAAATTAATATATACCTGCAAGGCATTTTTTTCCCCTTCATCAATCAGTTGATTAGTTATTTTTAATTAAAACAGCAAGCTCTGATTGCAGGATTTTCAGCAATAATCCTTGCCACTTTAACTACTGTTTTCTGTGGTTCAGACACTGAATTTATAAACTATTAATAGGACAGCACAAGCAAACTTGAGTTTAATTCTCAAGCAGTGTTTTGGCTTGATCCAGATTTCAGGCTTCCACTACTCAGTCATCCCTCAGCACGTTTCAAGTACCAAGAAGGAAATAATTATTGGCTAACAGATCAGTTTTCATCTGTGCACTCTGAGTTTAAGAGAAAAACAGCTGGTTCACACACAAAAAACCCCAGAGCTTCATTTTGCCAGAAGCCTGTTAAGTTTATTTGAAGCTTGGATGAAGAAGATCCAGAAAGAATCTTCATGGGTAAAAAGGTTTTTTTTGCCAAACCCAAGGTTTTATATCAGACTTGCTGGACCAGATTTTACTTTCCTATTTTCAGATTTTGCTGCTTGACTGGACAGAGGCCCACATGCAGATACAATATTAAAAAAAAAATTTAAAAAAAGACCACTACTGTTCATGTTATTTTCCTGTTTGAGAGCATTTGGACTAAGGCTGAATTGCTACCAGAAATTTACTAGAGCCATGAAAGGAAGAGTGCAAAGCTACTGGTTTTGTTTCCTTCAGCTGCTTGCTAACCAGGAACAGAGTTTTTACAACTTATGGCCCTCGCTGGAAGCTGTTAACAAAGTGCTTAAATCCCAGGGTTCAGGGTTATATGTCCATGGATTTCAGGCTGCTAAGGCATGGGAAGAAGGAAAGGAGGCAGACCACTTCTAAAGGATGTGTCCCACCAAGTAAAAATGTGGTTTCTGCAGCATCCAGGAGAAATGCAGAAGGAACTTATGGAAGTTTAGTTTTTAAATTGAGGGAAAATAACTCAACCCAAGTTCTAACTCCTGTCTGATGTCCTGGCAAAGCTCTGTATCCCTGAATCAGTCCTGTGGCAGCTTCTGAAGCACAAAGCTTCAGCCTGCAGCAAATGCAGTGGAGCTGTCCCAAACAGCCACCAAGCCCAAGCCATCCCACACATCTACACCATGGACACTTTGTGCTTCAGGCTTCCATCGCTGCACAGAAAACCAGAGCCCAGATCTGAGAAGCTCATTTGCACAGCTGATGTGATGCTTCATTGGTGGAGGAATGAGTGATAACCATGGTCTCAGAAAGCTGACTGAACCTCTTCATCTGCAAAACAGAGCTAGCACTCACTTTGGAAGGTGTTTAGCAGGTTGCTCTACCAACCATTCCCATTTTGCCAGAGGAATTAGATATTCTAACACTTTTCCAGATATGAGCACACGTTGTCATTGGAAAGTTACAGAAAAAGCAGGACAGGAAAGCTGCACATGAAACTTTGACTAAAAACAAAAGGAAGACTAATTTAAGAGTCCCTTCACCTGTCCAGGGTCATTGCCTTGCAGATTAAGCACGGGTCACCTGCAGACACTGAGGGTGACATAGCGGGGGTCCAGCTGAAGCAAGAGGGGACAGCCAGCAGTCCACAATTTGGGAGAAATCAGCCTCTAACTCCCCAAAGCTTTGACACGGCAGAAAGTTGTGAGCAGGGCGGGCTCCCGTGCCGCTGCCGCGGGTGACAAGGCTGTCACTCCTGCCAGCACGCTCCCGCTGTCCCTTCAGGGCACAGGAAAAGCGTCCTGGCACCCGTTCCGTGCTCCATGCACACCCGGCTCTGCTGCCAGGCAGGAGGAGATCGCATCTCTCAGGGAGAACTGCATTTGGAAAAGTTACACGGCAGGAACAGTTTGCATTCATCCCCAGCTTGCTACGTGGGATCTCGAGAACATTTGCTTTACCACTCCAGCTATACGGTCTGATTTTATTTTTAAATGTCTCCTTTTTTTCCCCCAGTTTCCACTCATCAGAGAGCAAAACTGTTCTCAGCCGAAGTGAGAAACGTATTTGCTTAACACGCAGACAGCCCAAAGAGCAGTCTGAGAAATTTATATGTCACGAACCTCCTCCCGTCGGGGGGTGGGTGGCAACAGACACGGAAATGTTTCCACCTCAACTTTTGATGCTGGCAGCGGGAGCAGCGCCTTGCGAGCACAGGGGCTTCCCCCCGCACCTCGGCGGGCCCCAGTGAGTCAACGGGGATTGATTCGCATCCAAAAACCCCTCCGGCTGCCACACCCCTCCCTCCGAATTAGCATCCAATCGTCATTAATGGCCACTGCCGAAACACGCAGAGGGGATGGGAAGGGAAGGCGGCACCTGCCTCTCCCGGCGTGACACCACCCACACCTCGGCGCTGCTCTTCCCAAGGTAATCCCAGCGCTCAGGGCTCCAGCCCCCACGGCTGACCTCACCGTGCATCCCTCAAGTTCGCACATTTCCGACACAGGGCTCGCACCAGCCACTGGGCTGGTAAAACCGCTGGGCTGTGTAAAAGGTTGGCAGCAGAGTCACATCACCCACCAGGAGCGGGGCACCGGGGTTACCCTGCTGCTTCCTGCCATAATCCCGCTCCCAAAGCTCCCCGAGCCCGGGAAGGAGTCTCTGCGCAGCTTTGCGGCTGCGAGGCGAGGAGCTCCCCGTCTCCGCCCCGCAGGACTCCCCGATGCCTGGAGGAGAAGGCACCCAGCACCGCTCCGCTCCCCCAGATAGGCTCGGAAATGAGATGGAGCAGCCGCTCTCCCGCGCCAAGTACCACAGGAGCGGAATACTAACGGGTTCCTTTCTTTTGCCATTACCATATGCAGATATTAAAGTCTGAGCGCTGCATTTCTGCCAATGCCGGCCCTCGCAAATTAACCCAGCATCTCAAAGCGGCACCACACTAGTTGAGGTCACCGTCTCTCCTCCGCTCCGCGACCGATGGGGAAGGGGAGGAAGAGAGGGGTGTCTGTCCTCGCCGGAGGAGCTCTCCCGGCTCCGGGAGGGTGGCAGCAGGGTGGGAGCCGAGGCAGCCCGAGGAGCCGCGCCAGGGCAGCTCCAGCATCCCCGCACACGCGCATCCCCCACCGCCCCCGACTTACCCCCGTTCCGCCGGGAAACTTTGGGCCGCGCCGGGCAGCGGGACGGGCCGGGGGCCGCCGCCCTGTGGCAGCGAGGCCCGCGGGCTCCGTGCGGGCTCGGTGCGGGCTCGGGGGCAGCGGCGGCGCCGCTCCGCCCGCCGGGGCCAGCGCGGCTGCGGCGCTGCCTGCGCAGGGCGGGGGAGCGGGAGCGGGGCCGCCGCTGCCCCCCCGGCTCCCGGGAAAGCGCTGCGGAGCCGCCGCTCGTGCCCGCCTCCCGCATCGGCGAGAGGGAAAAAAAGGAAGGGAAGGAGGGAGGGAGGAGCGGGGAGGGGGGGAGAAAGAAAGGAGGCAGCAAGCGTTCGCCAGGGCTCCGGGCATCGCCGCCGCGGCAGCCGCTCCTCCGGGATAGCGCAGCAACTCGCGGGCAGCCCCGCCGCCCGCGGGCACAGCGCACGGCAGAGGGGCCGGGGGCTGCAGGCGTGCTCCTTCCCCTCTCCATCCCTCCCTCCATCCATCCATCCATGCCTCCGCGGCTGCGCTGCGCTCCCAGCGCGCCCCCCGCGCTGCCCGAGCCGGAGCAGCCCCGGGGATGGAGCCCCCGGCAGAGCCGCGCTCGGCGCTCCCCGAGCCCAACTCCGGAACAGCGCGCACCCACCGCCGAGCAAGCTGGGCTCCTGCCGGTGCCTGGTCCCCAAATGCCACCTGTAGGCAGGCCTGCTTCCTCCGAGGCTCGGCTGCCACCCGCCCGAATCCGGCGTGCCAAGTTTCAGGTGGCGAATCAACACCGCGGGGACCTGTTGGGTGCGCGGCGGGTCAGCCCCAGCGCCGGCTCCCCGAGAGCATCCCGCTCTAACCCGCACTCACTGCTGGACCCCGAGGGGGAAACCCCCCTGGTGGTACCCCCTAAAGCAGCACAAACCTTCGCTTCTTAATGAATAAACTCCGCGTTAATTCAGATATTTATGGCCGGTGCAAGGGAAGTGGCAAGCTAAAGCGCTGCTGGTTTCAAACGCAAATGTTCACCGCCTCACCCTGCCCCCTTCACTCAGCTCGGACCACTCAGAACAGGCTCTCTCTCTCTTGGAAGAGTTTTTCCTTAGCTAAGTGAACACAAAACGCGAGTTTGCCCGTTTAAATACACCAAACTCCCCTCTCTCCTCTCTTGCCTTCAAACCCCTTTGTTGGGTTCACCTGTGCTCCTCCATCACACTTCTGCGGACAACTCCATCAGCAAAACCACCAGCACCTGTCTGTAAAACCTTTTAAAAAGGAAAATAATCACTCCTGACCTTTCACGTGAAGAGGACCGCGTATATCCCGAATGTCTCAATATCCTCTCAAATCCAAACGTCAGCGTAGACTCAGGAACCACAAATTTTCTGCGCGGAAGCTGAGTAAAATCTGTTCTTCTTCCCCCAGATATTTTCAGAAGACCCTGCTAATCCCTTTGGAATCCCAATAACCAATCCCAGCCTTCCGCAGGACTCGCACTGGGTTTCAGGAGTCCCGAGGAGCTCTAACACTCCGGAAATCCGACAAGGAGCGCAGAGTTCCATCCGAGGCAAGCGGGATGCTGCCGAGCAGCATCCGAGCGCATCTCCCACATATCTCCCATCCCTCGGACACCCTCACCGCGCTGGTGGCCACAATCAGCGGCCCCGGGAGCCACCGGGGCGAGGGGCTGCGGGCGAGGGGTTTGGAGCGAGGGGCTTCGCTCAGTCGCTGTTCTGGTGAGGGTGCCCCATCCCATTCCATATCTCACCCCATCCCATCCCACCGCCCAGTATTCCCAGTTCTCACCTCCGCCTCGGGCCGCGGCTGCCTCCGCCTTGCCCCGCTCGGAGCCGCGCTCGCCAAACGCGGGCGGAGTGTGCCCCCGCCGCGGCTCGGAGGGACGGCGAACTGCAGCCGCAGGCACCGGCACCCCTTCCCTTCCCTCTTTCCCGCCCCGGCTCGTCCATCAGCGCCTCCTCTTCCTCACCTCCGCGCCCTGCTTTGACTCGCTAGGGAAGGGAAAAGCCGCAAACTTCGCCGGAACAGCGAGGAACCGCGCCCGATTCCGAGAGCGGGATTAGCTCGGGGATGATCCCCGTGAAGTAAAAAATGGATGTTAATTACAGCGGCTGGAGGGGAAATGTGGTGTGTCCCGGTGCTGGCATTGAGTCAGCTCGTTAGCAGAAGTGGAGTTCAGGCTTGCAGCAGTTGTCCTTGCACATTTGTCTTTACAAACAAGAGATACTTGTAAAGATCCTCGTGCACTTCAATAAAGGTCCACAAGCTTCCTTCTTAATTTGCTTTAAATACAAGCATTTCCTGAATATGTGAGCTTTGCAGGCTTAATGGGAGATTTTTGGTGAACTACCAGAATAAAAATCTCAAACAGGCAGGGTCAGCAGCCAGTGGGATCAGAGACTTAGCCATTATTCAGGTTTTACTTCAATATTTATGAACAGCACTGCACATACACTGAAACTTCCCCTACCTCTGCTCCCAAAGCTTACAAACTTAAGCCCAGATCAATGGAGCAGCCCAGGCCAGATTCCTCCACTCAGAACAGGATGCAAGAGCAATTATTTAGCAATAAAACCCCTATAAGACTGAGGTTGGCTGGAGATCCCAAATCCCAGCCCCGTTGCTGCTGCTGCTGTTCTTACCCCAGCTGCTCACATGAAGACAGGAGCAGGGTTTATTTTCTGCCCTGCCACCACAAGAAAAGTTCCCCAAGTTCCTCTTGGCCTTGCAGCAACTTTGCTTGACCAAGTTCACCTCACTAAATCAGCAGAAAACTCAGCTGGCAGCCAAAGACAGCATTTCCTTCATCTTTAACAAGCCAAGGGGGATCACTGAGGAGTCAGATAAGCAGCAAAGCCAAGCTGAGCAGGTCTGGGATGAGCAGACCTTGCAGGTGATGCAGGACCATCCCCTTCAGCTGCCAGTTGTTCTTACACTTGCTCAGCCGCCTCGTGACCCCTTCTGCTCAATTTCACCCCTGTAAATCCAGATTAAATCCCCCAGCTGAACCTGAGGCTGGAATTTCTTCCCTCACCTTCTCTGAAGGTAAAAAACAAAAGTCATTCTGATTCAGATGGAGCCTCCTTGTGCTCCTCTCCCATACAAAAGTGATGAGAGCAGGGATTTCAACCCCTGTGGTACCCAGATGCTTCACAGGTACACTGTAAATATTTGAATGGCAATGTGCACTGTGCAAATCAGCTCACAGCTCATGCCTCAGCATCATCTGTAAGCACACAGGTGAGTGAAAACCTCTCTTCTCTTACTTCCCTTCCCTCATGCTGCTTTAACATCCAAATTCTCCATGGCAGGGGATTGAAATTAAATTATTTTTAAGGTCCCTTTTAACCAAAACCATTCTGTGTTTCTGTAATTTTAAATTTATTTTGATTTCTCTGTTAGCAAACCCAAAGGGAGGTAGGTTGAGGTTGGGGAAGGAACCCACATTCATTTCTCCCCCACCTTTAAATGCAGCACAAATTCTCTGAGTTGTGACACGTGAACAATAACAAAGGCAAATTTAAAATGTGTATTTTCACTCACCCAGTGTGCATTTACCTCAGTGTAACCAAAATATCATTGCTTTTCATCCTCAGGAGATGAAAAGCAGGACTCAGGAGAGTCCCATACAAACTGCAAAGAGAGATTTTAGCTCATTATAATCATAGAATTATCTCCTAGAGGAAGCAGAAGGAGGTTAAGCACGAGGGCAATGCTGCTCAGCCTCCCAGGTGCCTCAGTGGCCAGGAATTCCTGCCCACCACCATTGGATGAGGCACAGAGAGCCCAGCAGAGAATCCTGTTTGCTTGGGCAGGAGAGCTGAGAGCTCAGGAGCTCCTGTGCTAATGAAGAATTCACTATGGTTTGTCACAGTGCACAATCATATTTGAAAAGTAATGCTTTTAATTAGAGAAAAAAATTTAATTTCTACTTCAAAATTTGGTGGATGATTTTAATAAGAGAGTAGGAATTACAAGCCAAAGAGTCAAGCCTCCATTAATCAAATATTTACATATAATTTAAATGACTCTGCCATTTACTTAATCTTAAAATTCAGAGTGAAAGAGCAGAATTGCCACTGTTTGTTTAGGTATGGCTACATTCACTAAGCTCATGCCTTAAGCCTCTACTTAATCTGTTTTACTACTCAGAATAATTGCAAGCAGGGTAATAACTTCTATTACATCCCTACCTTCTCTTCTCTTTTAAAGAACAGTTAATCACAGCAAGAATGTGCAGAGGCATTTGCAAAGTTCTGATTTTTCTTTCTCAATGGCCAGCTGTACTGAGAATTTGTTCAAGGATCAATGTGCATTTTACCTGAATACAATTAAAGTTGTGAATACCATTCCCCAAAGCCCCAAATTAAGTTCTCCTAATCCATCATCTCTTGTGAGTATTGAAATGGATGGAAATTTTATTGATTTCAGGGGGAAGCAAGTGCAGCTCCTTCATGTGCTGGTCCATCTCAGGCTGTCTGTACCTCTATGAGTGTGATGTGTTGTCACCATGATATTTCCTGAAATATCCCTTTGCCAGGATTTCTTCTCCTGGGAAGCTGAGAAGCCTCAGAAAAGAATGAAAACAATAATTATGTGATTTCTTGGGAATGTGGTCTGGAGCTCATTTACCAACTGGTGCATCTTTGATTGGTTCCATGAGAATTGTTTTTAATTAATGACCAATCACAGCCGGCTGTGTCAGACTCTGAGTGAGTCACGAGCTTTCATTATCATTCTTGTTTATCCTTTCTCTTTCTTCAGTATAGTTCAACATGGTGAATATAATATGGTGAATAATGTAATAATAAATCAGCCTTCTTAGAACATGGAGTCAGAATCTCATCTCTCACCTCGTCCTGTGGACCTCACAACACCACAAAATGCACACTGTGTGCAGTCAAGATCTGTACCTCAATACCACTCACAACCTGCTGCACATGGAAAATATAATAATTCCACGTGTTATTCGGGAAACTTTAGCCAGGAGTGTCTCAATTCATTTACATTTGCTGCAAGTTGTGCTCACAGCAGAGACACAAACAAGCCAAGCTGCAAATCATCTGCAGAACCCAGATCCTGCTGCTGTCCC